AAGTACATCCTTCACGAATTCGATTGTTTTCATTGTGTTCTGGGGGTAGTTTGCAAATGTGGAAGTAAAGGTGTGGTTCTTGACATCTTTACCACAAGTGCTTTTTGGAAATCCAAGTGCACTCAAACTCTTCAAGCCTTCGCGTTTTCTTGCCGCAAGTTTGTGTCACGTTCTATTAAGCGATATCAAAGCAGGAAAGAAGGAATGTACGAGTTCAGGCTGTTGTAATTACTTTCAGCGTGGAGACTATTTATTCGGACGAAGAACGATGGCGATAGTTTGTGTCCGCAGCGTTCGAGCACTAAAACTCACTCCCATAGATTGTGTGAAATTTAGGCAAACGCGTTTGAATGAGTAAAGCAATATTAAGAGTTATCCCATCACCAACTAAGAAGTCATTCCGAAGCAGCGTGCATACGAACACTGGCCTGTTACAGTGCTGTACGTGAATGTAAAAAATTAATTGGAATGAGCCGAATGCTACAATAAGATGCGATATTTGTTTAGTTTGAAAGAGGTTGCTTTAAATTCTATCTACCATTTAATTTGCAAAGCATACAATCTGTTGCCGATATGCTCGTCTTCAGTAAGTGGCTTGGAAGTCCGTTGGGGTGAGGTGCGGTGGTATAAAGTTGTGTATTGATAGGAAGTGCAGAGAAGGGTGGAGAGAAATGAAATTTTGTGAAGACAGGGATGCACATCGGGTAATTACAAGAGTGTTGATAATCCGTGCAAATTGGTATGTGAGAGTGATTGGGGAGTTTTGGACAATGGAGACTTTTAAGAGTAGAGCTGCAGTCTGTTACCTAAACGTGAGTCTTGGTTCTCTCAACAATTTAATACTTTGACGTTGGCAAAGTTTAGTGGTTGGTGGGATGGGAAAGGTAATGGTAAGTTGGGGATAGGTTCTTTTATGGGGTGTTTGGAGGGAAGGGAAGAGAGGTGGAAGGAGGTAGGTGAGCAGGAATCATGTGGTTTAATTTGTGGTGGATAGCAGTTTTGCTCTTGTTCCTTTTCCTTGCCAGTGTTGGATGTTTGATTTTTAGTGGTTGAGTACTGAGATTATAAAGATTAAGTGCTTCACAACGAGTACGTCATTAACAGCCTCCACCATTAATTCGCTAATCAGAGAAAATCAAAGGAAATTGTGTCATCATATATTACTGCCAATGTGATCGTTTCGTCGCCAATTTGGTAATTGAGTGGAATTGAAATAAGAGTAAGCTAAACGGAAATTCCCTCATCTTTATAATTTCAACCGACTACGATGCAGATCCACCCTCCACACACTCATGGAATCTTGAAACTCCGGACATTCAGAACATGAATTTTCTCACTCTTTATCGAGGTCACTTCACAAGACCTCAAAGATATCTAGTGAGAAATAAAATCTCAAACATATGAATCAACATGGTTGGTCATTATGTGTTCAAAGATATGGAGGAGAGAAACCGAAACGATTGTTACTTGCAGTTTGAGACTAAAATGAGCATATTTGTATCAATATAGTAAACATCAGGATCGCCACCTCGAATAACTCGACTGGTAACGAGCATCTTCAACGACAAATGAGTACACTTCTAAATCGCCCTCATGAAATTCTGACACTTGGGGCGCACTTTCAATAAGATATCACATAATTGTGTCCTCTAGAACATTACCGATTTGTGCCACAATCTCACATTTCATATTCCATTTACCACGTTTGATCCTAAACCATTCTCTCCAACCACCTCCATATATTTAGATAGTAGCATTGTAATGTCGTCTTAGTTAACGCATTTATTGCATAATTATGATATTGAATGGATGAGTGAATAAATGAATGAGTTATGGTAAGTAATGCTGACTTCATGAGTGAACATGAAATTTTGAACAAATGTAAGGTTATAATGAAAGACTGAGTTGATGAATGATGAGAAGCTGATGTTTACATGACATTGGCAGAGAATGTGGGCAAATGACTGGGCTGGTAGAGAGTGGTGTAGATGAACTTTAATGTGTGGAGTTTCAGAGTGCTTCGAAGAGATCAACTCGTTTCTTTGTGTAACCACTTTGAATGAATTTGAGTGACGTGAACTTGGGGTCAATATCGGAGGATGGTCTATCGGTGTAGTAGTCTGGTGTTATGATTCGAGGGTCTGCAGTACCTCTTGGGGCCACCTTTGGTTTGGGGTGAATTGGGGGTCGATTGAACATGCCTTTATCCTGAGATTCATTATTTGCAGCTGAAAGTCGACCTATAAGAACATCCAAAGCTAGGTTATATTTAGCCTTGATTTTACCAAAAATTAAAGTGTTGCTTAGTTTAAAAAGGAGAATTTTTATCATACTCCATAGATTAGAGATTATAGCGCGAATTCATCAGCTAATTAAGTAGAGTAGGTAAGTGTTTTGGAAGTTATTTTAATATGGAAGTAAATAAGTGGCCAAGTGCGATAAGAGTATTGGAAGCATTCAAATTCTACTGCTCTTTAATCACTTTAGAAAAGATAAACGGATCACCGGAAATTAAATTCGATTTCACGGACTGACTCTCTGGAGTTGAGGCAATTTCGTGACATAATAAATTGTCACATCCACAAGACACGCCTTCTTTGAGATAGACTCTCGAAATCAAGACTGTGGGCTGACAAATTTAACTCATAATTTTGGTGCTTACTGCACTATTACATCAAGCAAGTTTTATAAGAATGTTGATGCCGTTTGTAAATGCCCACGATCCATTCGTAACACTGGCTCACAATACAGTAGGCTTAATCAAGGACACATAATATTGACTGACCTAGCAATGATACAATGTGACTGAAGTACAAAGTTTATGAAATGATTGAAATGTTGATCCATTCATATAATTTGTACCTTTAGCATAACCTCTGAAAGAATCCTGATTAGTCGGACTTAGAACCGATTTCCATGTTTGTGATGTAGAAGCTGGAGTTGGAGGATCGAATTGTAAGCCTTCACGGAATTGGGGGTAACCAGGGTTGCCACGAATAGGAATGGAAGTGGACAGCGATTGGTCGTCTGATACAAACGTAGGAATTGAATTCTCTAAATTAAGAAATGAATGATTGAATGAATGAATGAACGGGTTTTCTTGGCCACAATATTTTGATCTTTCAGGAGTGGAAATAAATGCTTAAATGGCAATTAAAGGAGGAAAATAAACCTGGCAGTTTTGGGTAGGCGTCTTGATTGTAGTTGATGGGTTTCGGAGGAGAGCTATTGATTGGTGGCTTAAGTGGGCTAGACCCTTCAGGTGAAAGTGGAGGAGGTAGAGAAGGCATAGTGGAGAGTGGTGGATCCTTGGGAGATTTACCGGTTCCTTTGAAGGAATGCTCTACATGACTACGATCTTCGGTATCTGATGGTGACGAGACTGGACTTGATGTAACAGAAGGGACAAATGAAGACAGATGTTTTGGTTGAACAGATTGTGGAGCTGTGCTTTTAACTGAAATTTAAACTTCGTGCTGGTTAAACCCAGAATACCATGTATAATGGCATTAGAAACATCTAGTTCAATGTTAGCTTTAATAGGCTGTTACTAATGAGAGATAATTGTTTCATTCTATTAATAAAAATGAAAAGTTGTACAGTCATGAAGTGTGTTAGTTGTGCACTCATTAATGGACGTTTGTCAACTGATAATTCCGTTGCACCTTATTTGTGCATTGTGTGGTGTACATAGGGAAAACAGAAGAGCGAATTCACTTGCGAGTTTCAACATTTTTATGCATCTAACATTAAGGTGGAAAGTTGAGTTCCAGCAAGTAGAAGTTATAATGGTATCAGAATTAAAGAAATGGCGCAAAATTAATTGACATTGAATCAGTTGTCATGAGACTTCTCTCTTATCTCTGTAATGAGAAGAGAATGGAATAGAATGTGTTCCGTCATTAATAAATGTAGACGTAAAAATAAATTTCCACTATATTTATTCAAAATATGTAAGCATATTGAAATTACTCCATGGTTTTCTTATTTCATTTCATTTTATTTTGCCAAATAAAAAATAGAACAAGGAAAAGTCTGATTATCTGCTCAAATTATGAAGGTGGATATCAAGACATGGCGCAGTGAATCGTTCTAACCAAAGACTAGGGAGGGCACATCACATTCCAATTCCTAATTTATTTATTTAACATATCAAATCATAAAAGAAAAATAATTTTTTTAAATCAAACAAAATTGACTTAAAGAGTAAATGTAGGTTTCTCAAAAATCACTATAAATGACTAATATTTTATCATAAAGCAGCATCAATGTTTCACAGTATGAAATTGTATCCAGTACAATATTAAATTTTACCAAAAAACTTCAAATTTTGTTGGTAAAAACACTGATATTTAATTTACTTTTTAACAAATGTTATTCGAATAGTACATTGTTATAAGATTTCTTAATTAGTCTGAAATAATAAACTCCGCGAAAGCATCTTTGCATATCTTTTATAAAAAATCTTTTTGGATACAAAAATATGCTGGGTATTATATCGATATGTTTGAAGTATACTTTACTTCCACTAATTGGAAAACAGCGGCAATCAACTTTTGCAACCAATTTGGAGAAGAAGAGACTTCTACCTTGGTCATTTCTAATGCCTACTCAACCCTTTTATAAAATATAAGAGCTTTTCGGGCAATTAACCTTACCTTGACACAATAAAATGTACTAATTTATTCAAAGCATTCATCGCAAAGAGATTTCAAAGTATTTTATACATTTGAAACGAAATATATTTGTTACTTAAAATAAAGCGAGTAAAAACGAGTTTTGGAATATCATAGGAAGGAGAAATGCCAATGCTCCGTCTTCTCGAATTTGTTCCGGGCAAGATATGCTAATAATGGCTAACCTGTAATGTAAGCTCAAATATACTGTAGTGACCCAGTACATATTCATTTGTGAACTGGTCTACCGCAGTCTTAATAGGTAAAGCTTTGACATGTAACGAGATCGAGAAAATACGTAAAATAAGGAAGACGACATGTGAGATTGCAAATGGTGCTGATTGTGCCAATTATGAATGTAACAACATCTGTGCTCACCTTTTGTAAAGAAATTTTTCAGAAAAGCATTTGGGAAGTAAACGAAAATGTCGATATTGTGATCAAGACTAACCTAGCAATTGAGACTAATGACAAGATTGTGATAATCGAAAAGGCGTAACCGAAATATGACTTCGTGCACTCATTTAATGAAATTATTAATTAGAACACTTAACTATTCTCACATTTTTTTGCAAAATATTCAGATAAAATCACTTATAACTGAATCTAATCTATTTCATTACTAATAGACCGTTAATTAAGAAAAAAATCCGAAAGATCCGAGTAAAGTTGCATTTTAATAATAAAGAAAACTACATACTTCAAAATTATGATTCCATTAAAAAATTTTAAAAACCACGACCTTCAGAGATCAGACTGCCGCAAAATTATCCGAAGGCAAGAGAGCTTTATTAAACACTTGACTGACGCCATATTGAGAAGCATTTCGATTTTGATCTTATAGTTAGGAGTTTAAATTACAGAAACCTATTGCATAATTGAGACATTTTAATTCATTACAAAATTTTAATTACTTTACCATGAAGAATAATATTTAATGTCTAAGGAATCAAACTAGAGAAGACCGAAATTGGTTCAATCATAAGCAGTTTATAATAATTTACCAGCAAAAAATTTATTTCAAGAAACATACCATTGCTATCATTTGATGAAGCGGTGATCCTTGATGGTAGCACTTGAGATAAAATAGAAACAAAATATAGATGTTGATGTTATGTAAGGAAATGCATTCATAGAACCGAATCTTTGATTGCAAAATTTACGTACTATTGTAATTATATGCACCAATTTCATTTTTAGGCCTAAATTTGGGAGTCGCATATCTTTTCCTTTGGACAATGATGGAAATATATGTTGTCAATTCATGAGTTTGTCGGAGTTGTACTTATTCAAAATGAATTGAAAAAATAAGAATTTATGTTTTGATGCTTTTCAAATTTTCTACTATACAAGAGCAAAGAAAATGCTCATGCATTGCATCTTGTAAGTGGATTCTCGGAAAAAATAATGTATAATTTGTTATGCTACCAATGAACCAAATATAATAAGATAAAAGACTTTAATGAAAATACTAAATGCGGGATGGTTCACAAATTATAAAATTAGCTTTTTAGTCTACTGGGGTGGCACATATCATTCTGCTATAATTGTATTCACAAAGGTTTTCAACAAGTTTAGTGTGAGAAAAAGAAATGAGGATCTAACCATTTGTGTTCTCCGATTCTGAGTCAATGTCCGAGGAATAACCGTTCGATCGACCCAACAATGTTCCACCAATTCGAATAGCTGAAATGGAGTTAGGATTTAAATTTTAGAACAGAAGTCTTCATCACATTTTGAAACAACAGAAGACCACGGAGCAAAAAGAAAGATCACACACCAAATAGATTATCTCAATGATTAAGCTATTATTTTTTTTAAACGTGAACATTTAGTATAAACAGATCCCAATTAACTTTTGGTTGAAACAAGGTAATGGACGTGGGCTTTAATTTAACCTACTCAGTCCACTTATCTATCTGAATTATTGAGAGCAGGGGACTTGGGTCGACATTTGATACCATGGATTAGACAGCACAAACAAATTAGTGAATCCTGATTAATTTAAATCCCATTGTCGGCTTCACAAGTTCAGTTGCGTATTTGATTGGCTGGGAAGATGGTGATACTTTGCTTTAACCAATAGTAAAATTAACACGATGCGAAATATTTCAAGAATTGGGGAATTCTGGAATCTCTAGGATTGGAATTTGTGAAATGCTTTTAGGATAACTTTCTTCTACCACAAAAAATACTAAATTTAGTAAAAGAAGACTTGAATTTTCATTCTTACCAAAGTTTCCGCGATATCGATGAAGGCGATTCAAGGGCTCTAACACATAAAATGAGTAATGATATATTAAAATACTTGTAACGAAAATGACTTTCTGTTAAAGAGTTGGGGGTGATTAGTTCAAGAACACTTTCTTACCCTTTTCTTTGAAGAAATCCTAAGGTAAGAAAGGGAGTAAACAAAATTAGTAAGGATAGGGGTCGTTGCTTATTATCGTTTCCTTATTCCAATATCATTTGGTTTGGGCTGGATTTGTATCACTGCTGGAAATGGGTACGAGTATGGTATATGTGGGTAGAATTTGCACTCTGGTATTTAATAGTTGAATTTTGTTGCCATGGTGATTAAAAAGCGGGAGTTAATTTGAAATATCCTTTACCTTCATTATAAAATATTTCAATGACTGAAATTTCCATGAATCACTCCTGAAACTATGCCATCACCACACTCCACCACCCTCTCATCGTAACTCAATTACACATTTTATGTTCTTGAGTAGCATTCACCAAGTGATGGTGTCCTCTTTCTTTCTCTTCTGCACTCTAATTTGAACTCACCTGTTCTAAAAATACACGAATTTGAGCAACGCGGTGTTGCAGCTGACGTGTGTCTTCGGTGGAGGGCTGATTCAATGAGAGTTTTGTCTCAATTCCTCGAGATTGTCGAAGTTGGTCTTTTACTTGCCACGCGGCGTACTCATAATCTGTTGCCCTACGTGGCAATTCCAATTCGAGTTCAGTGATTTGCTGTTCGAGTTGCATTAACTCTATTGGTGACAGCTTTTGTGGCCTAAAATGGGACAAGTAAGTTGAAGGAAACAAAAAAACATTTTTTTCTCTCCTCTCTTTGACTAACACTATGAATGATTAATCTGCGTTCAAAACTTAAGCAGATTGATTGATCACCATCCCAAATTAATTAAATTTCAATCGACAAGAATTTACCTTAAGAATTTAGGATGTTGTTTCGTCAATATCTTGTACCTTAACGTGGATGAAGAAACTTACAAAAGAAATCTTTTCCATGAGAAAGGAACTTGTTCTGAGTTCCACTCAGGACAGACAATCCAACCACGATTTTTAAAGATCCATCTTAATGACTCAATTCGAGATTAAATTCTCTAAAAAGGGCATAAATTAAAGTTCTAAAGCTAGTTGATATAGTGGAGAATGTTGAGGAAATTTTTTTGAGAGATATAACTCGAATGGCGAAAAACACATTTTAAAATGGAACCTTGTTACTGGTTCTCGCCTCTCGCAATTATCTTATGAAATAAGTCTTCCGGCGCATAACCCAGTTTTTAGATTATAGCGTATAACAAATAGGGAATCTTTAAGTTTTTCCTAAGGAGAATAGTATTTAGTTGTTATCTTCCAAAGGTGTTAATTGGTGCACACACATTTCACCCGTGAAAAGCTTGAGCCCTTCTTGTGCCACACATGTGATGAAAACGAGGAAGAACAACTGCAACCCATCTGAGTCGTGGAAGAGAATTGCTTGCAACATTATGATTTGTGTAGACCAATAAACGCGACCAGATATTCTCGAACACTGCGAAAATAATTCAGAATGATTTGGAGAATTACATTTGAAGACCGAGGGGGACTAAAGTGGGATGAAGAAGGCAATGTAACAAAAAATTCTTTCAGATTGAACCTGCACTGCAAATTTTCTCAAAACAATGCTTTGAGCAGTGCGAATTTGGCTACGCAAGCCTCTGGCACAAAGGTTGCACTCAATGAAGGCTTCCACTACCACACACACACTCGTGCATTCAGCACCGATTTCAATTTCTCACAGAACAGACACACAAAGCTCATTTGGCAAAGCTAAAGAAATTTCGGGGCCATGTGAAATATATGGCAGAAGCACAAAATCAGGTTTTTAGACGTGTGTCCACCTACCCCCTCCCCCACCCCACGCCCTTTCCTCTTTTTTTAAAAAAAGGAGTTTGAGTTGAATTCGGCAGCCTACCTGGGATTGATAACCACTGAAATTGTGCCCTGGACAAGGAGAATAGCCAGTAATAGACTTTGTGTTTGACTGCAGGATTCTTTTCCTTATCATGTCTCAGTCAAAATTGGTGGTCAAGACTTCAGTCCCAATGTTTGACTTCCATGCGCCCTAGATATTAACCTCTGAATGTGGGGAAAGCTGAAGTCAACTTAGGGGCTAATGATAAATATCATAAAGCCTGCCATTTGAAATACTAATAATAACCTCTGAATTATTTCACCAATGAAGTTGTCCCGAAAGGCACTTATCGTCGTGACAGTACTGCAAATAGCCAACCCACCCCGTATTTCAATAAGACAATCAAATATAACGAGGTGCTTATAACACACGGAATTTATGAGTTATGTTAGCTTTTATGTTGTAATGGTAAAATTACTAAGCAATAATCAATTTAATGAAAGAAAGAAATCCCCAATTTCTTTATTAACGAAGTAACACATTTAATGTCAATTACTGCACCCCACTTGTTGATTAGTTTATAATTGAAAGCCCACTTCAGTAATGTCATTTGACGTCATATTTCGCATTGGCATGCAATCGACTACAAAGGACTTTTAGTATTATTTTTTCTTTGAAATTGGCAGACACTAGCGCCATGATACTGTTGGAAACAAGAGTATTTCAGACACCTTCTTACTTTCAACCGAAATCGATTTTCTGAAGTAAAGAAAGTGATTTTAAAACCATTACGAAATTAGAATCTAAAAAGAAATGCATCAACGTGCCGCATAGTTAAAATTGTTTAGTAAAGTGATTGAGGATGGCAACAATTGGTCCACCAAACACAGATTGGATAATCTACGCAATTACGTCATTTTGGAGAATGATAGGGTTTTTTGAATGATTTCGCCAAGTTTGGTAGCTAACGCACTATAACCACCCGTTACACATAACTGGGTCGCATCAGAGTTAAACAGGTAGTCTATATCCCTCAACTACCACTGGTAATAACAGATTTAATGAACTTAATAAAAGCACACGTCATTAGTCATCATTACAATCAACGTGTGATTGGCTCACTTGAGAGCTGCTCAGTTAAACTCTAACGGAACTAGAAACTAACTTTTTTTAGAATTATCTAATTAGATGGTTAGACAAATTCTTGCTGGAAGGCAAAATATTTTCTTCATTTTTTTTGAAACTCCCAGGAATTAGAAAAAGTGAATAATGAGTTTTCGAACATTGGAAAGAAAAATCTAATTTAAAATCTGCTGCAAAAACCTGACAAATTTTAAAACAGGCAAGTATTATAAGAAGAAACAGTTAAGCCGAATCTAAATTTTGACCAATAAATAAACTGCGAATGAGGCGTAAACACCAAATAAAATTAACAGGGTTTAATAAGTGTAACTTTCTTCAAAATTTCAAGCTGTTACAAAATGAAACCCCTACTGAGACGTCAAATTAATTTATAATTTATATACCTCAAGGGATTAATAAAATTTCGCTTTTCAATAAAGAGTTTTGCTTATATTGCCTTGTTACATTTTAATTATTAAAAATTATGTGTCAAAACATGGGGAGTTTTCAATAAAATCAATACAACCAATGCCAGCTAAAAGGGCTTTTATGAGAGCACAAATCATAATCTAAAATCAATGTTCTCCGAAAATTTTATGGTAAAAAAATGATTGTTTGTAGAACACAGCAAATGTTGCATTCCACTTAGAAATGCACGAGAAATACGTGTGTGCCCCTGTAAGACCACGATCATAAAATTCATATCATTAAAACTTTGTTTATGGTTATAGAAATTTCTGTTAATATAGCATTCGGTCACCACATTTTGAATTAATCTTTGCAAATGGGAGAAAACTGACCCCTGCTAACTTTATTGTGTTCATGTTTTCAAAGGGCTTAGGAACTATCTATTATCGTTTAACATGGACCTCATTGGCGTGCATATACTGGCGCGCCAATCAAACGTTTTTAGAATATCATAATTGCCCTGGGTTTATATCTGAACATTCGGTGGAATTTTTTAATTAACTTTTAACACTTAATTAATAAGAACTCATGTGCATTCTTAGCCGACGTCTCAGTTAATACACTAAGTGATCAGATTCGTTTTTTTGCGATTATATCTAAATTCAATCTCTCCTCAACTCCTCCAACTTGCGTCTAGCTATCACACCTCAACTACCTTTCTCCTTTCTCTCTCTCACACTCTCTCTTCTTTTTCATTTTAACATAATAGCAAAATATAATTATTCTTACTATTTTTTGCCTTTTGTTGTTCTATGCCTAACGATTTTACGCCTACATAATCCCACAGCAAGCCAATTATTTCAAAAAGATTCTAAACTTGATGAGACGATATAGATCTCAAATTATCTTACCTCATTCTTAGACTGGAATTACTCTCAGATCGACGAATGTATTTGGATGAGACATCATTTTTCTTGCGTCGAGAGTAGAGCTCCTTACTTCCAACAAAAAGTCCTTCAAGCAGTTTACCCATCGCCTGATTTTGAATGATGAATTCGATGGTCTTGAATATGCACCAAAGATAATAAAAATATATAAATCTGTTTAAAAATTTAATCCGCACAAATAAATAAACTATAAAACTATAAATTTTATTTTATGCATAAATCTCATTAACTTTGTATTGTGCTTTATGTTTTATTTTTTAAAAGTGTTCACTTTGGAAAAAAATATTTCGGATATCAAATTACTACTTCAGCCTTTTTCGTGGTGGCTTTAAGTTCATGAAATATCTACCTGTTTGGGATCATGTGCTAGTTTAAGTTCAATCTTATTATACTTGGCCACGAAAGAGGAGATATCAGACCAGACGTATCTTCTTGTAGGTGGCTTCCTAAATGTTCATACAAATATGTTCAATAGAAATAGCAAGTAAATCTCGAGTAAATGAAATGGAAATCGTTCTACCTTTTGCTGTCGTAGATATTAAGTCCAACAGCGTCTAATGAAATCCATTTTCGAACATGGCTATGAGTTTCGACTTCAAAAATGGATGCCCCATATAACTCAACATCCTGAGCAATATCAAGATATTCAACAATTGCGTCTTGAAAAGGCGTATCACGAAGTTTTTGATGCCATATTGAGATACGATCTTCCCATTCTCTTATAGTGAGATTATGGTTATCGAGTGTACTAAAAGTGGGAAAAAATTATTTGAAAATGTCAAAATACCAGACAACAGTCAATTAAAAATATACCTTTTAGGCAATAAATCTTTAACAGGTGGAACGGGATTTCGAAATGAAACCGCGGTGCCAAATTTCGCTTGGCACGCATATGCAGCTAAATAAACGGCAGTTTCTGGCGGACAGAAGATTTTTTCACTTAGGATGGCCGTATAAATCTGTGTAAAACGAAATATGTAAAACATTCAATATAAAACATTGAAGTAACAAAATTTTGTACCTTGTTAAACAAGCGCTTAATGAGTTCTTCGTTTCCTCCGGTGCTTCGTTGATCAAATGACATGAATGATAAAAAACTAGATAAAAATAAATATAAACGTATTAAGTTCATCATATATCAATAAGTTTAATAAAAAATGTAGAAGATAAAATAAAAGGCCAAATAACAATATTTAAAGCCTTTTTAAAAATTAAATAAATTGATTTTACTTTTGCGTAAATCGTACATTAACTCACAAAATACTGTTGAAAGAGCCCTTAAGTGAAAGATAATATTCGTGGTACATATAAACAAATCAAGGTAGTTTGATCGATTTAGTTCAACTTTGTGAAAAAGCAAGGGACATTCTTCCTCGATAAATAATTTACAATTTCAATGCAAATGCGTTGCTTTTAATACCATGTAAATATAACGTTTCTCAAACGTATAGGTTACTTAACCCTCTGATATTACATTGATATTCTTCTTTCAATTTTCTACACTTTATTATGCTATATCTTATTTACGTCCATTAAGTCTATCGAATCCTAGTGTTGTGTAAATTATTTCTATAGTGTATGGCATCAGCAATTATTTTTGTTGTATTACAATATCCTGACCCTCGACACATCTATAAAATGAAAACAAATCGGTTAAGTATGGAGATATATTTATTGCCATTCCCATATGGGGAATATTTCATGTCTTATATATATATATATATATATATATATATATAATATTTCAGCTAAAATAATTATGAAATTACAATCATTAACATATATTTTTATTGCATTAGTTTTTATTTATTATTGAAATCCTTTAAATTTATGCTACTTTCAGAAATAATCCTTTTTCTTATAAGATATATTTTATTTTAATAGAGGGGAAAACGTATATAATATTTAATTTAAGATGGAATAAAGTGAGGGAAAGTAAACAAAAATTTTCAACCATAAACATGCAATTCTTTATAAGATATTTTTACCTGTTTTGACTCTACTCTAAATGAACAGATCAATTCCATTTAGAGCAAAGCCATATTAATTCGTGCTGAAAGATCTATCTTAAAATATCAGCTCTACAGTCCTGTTACCATTTTGATAAATTAGTTTTATTGCTTTTAAATTATATTTATATCTTCAATATAGGAAACATCTGATAAATGAAGCTAGTACGATGATAGTTGTATAAGAAAAGCTTTTTTATTACTTATAGTATGTTGCGATTGTATATTTTTTGAAACTAATTTTATTTTTAATCTCAGCAATATAAATTTGTCTCTATGAGATTAATACTGTACAGCTTTAATAAGGATAATTGATATTTCAGTTGAACTTTCAAATACTGACTATTTCATATTGACAATTTGCCTCCGAATTAGTTATTTTTTGACGTGTTAGTCGGCATATAGTAAATAACTTAAACTAAAATTTTCCTCCCATAACTTATTTCATAAAATAATGCAACTCGTTGAGGTCAACAAAATGAAATTATATTAAGTTTTTTCTGCATGAAGTTCAGTATTTATACTTAATGAAGTATCTTTTACTTATATTTAAATATACTCCGAAAATTCTTTCTTCAAATATTTCACCCTCTCTGCTTTTGGGTCTATAAAATGCTGCTTTATATAATTTAGTTTACCGATTGATTTGAAAAATTCACCGGTAGTTTAGTTGACAATTAAGTTATCGTGCTAGTTACAAAACAAAAATGACAAAATGATCAATTTTTGTTCCCTAGCATAAGTCGTTTTATTTTGTGATCGCCTAAAACTCGAATTAAAATTAAAAGAACCCGAAAGTAAAATTTAGCAAAAAGAATTTCACAAGAAACAAATATTTTTGTTAGGGAGTTGTGGAAGTTGTTAATAATTTTCTCGACTAATTTTTAAAAAAATTGTTAGTCGGTTGAAAATTTTATTTATTTTATCTATGGTATAAAAGAAGTGGCAATTCTAATTATCCCCTAATATGGAGCTTACTCTAAACACTGCAAAAATTCACCACAGAAGGAATAGAACAGTAAAGGTAGACAACATTAATGATAAGTGAAGAATTTTGTATGCTAAGAAATACTTAAATTTGAATATGCTAATACACCGAAAAATTTATTAAAATTATCTAAGTGTATCAAGCTTTATTTTAAAAGTCAAAATTGACATAAATTAATAAGTTTGTCAAACTCCCTGGAAAGCCAATCCGCCATTTGAAAATTAGCATTTGCCTTTTCAAATTCTAAAATTCTTGATATCAATTGGAACTGCATATTCTTTAAAATTATTTTTAAATGATTTCACCACTCCTAGGTCCTTATCTTAAGCAGTATTTCAACTCCAACATTTACTTATTTCAGTCAGATCCTCACCATCTTCAGTTTTTCAAGAATGTTTTCCATTAAGTTACCATTTTGACTAAATTACAAGTTGCTCAAGTATCCTCAACCTTACCCTGCAACTTACAACAAACCAAACCACAAGTTACATTTGGCTCTCACCAAAAGAGTATATTCCCTATTTCCAGTCGTTATATTGTGCACACTTGATATATTATCAAAAATAAGTAAATACGGTCCCGCTATTTATATTACCTCAATATTAAGCTAAAAAATAAGTCTAAATTAAATGTGTCCTTTATAAAAAAGTCAAGTTTGAAATCAAAATGAAATACCAAAATAATTAAATCTGTTCTTCCATATATTTTATTAAGTCTTAAACAACTGAATCCGCTTTCAATTATTCTCAATTATCGAGAATTTTAAAATTTAATATGAATTTCAAGAATAATTTCCTTTAATAAATATTTGTTCTAATAATTTATTTTTAAATTACATTTTGAGGCAGAACTAATATTACTTTTCATTTGTGATATAAGAATAAATGACCCGACCCTTTCAGCAAATTGACTTTCCAAACTGTATATTGATTGCCTGATGTTCTTTAAAAATCGTATCATAATTCTATTTATGCTAAACAAATGCTGAGATCGTTAGAAGTTTCAGCTTTTTACTTCGCGGTTTGATTAATTTTATTCATAGAGAATAATTTTAATATATTTATTAATCATCCGATTTACTGAAATAAACTAGTTTGAAAACCTATAAACTTCTCATTTCCACATTAAAGGAGTCGTTCGGCCTCTCATGCGTTCTCTTACACTTGGCATCCTGATTGATAATTAATTAACACATTTTTATTACTTTAAATTAAGTTAATTGGCATTTGCTTGCCTTAATTTCTTAAAATTAAATTTTGAACTTCACTGTATGGTACAACAAATCAAGTAGAAATCCATTAGCACAATCTTTTTAATAGTTTAGATTGCTTAAAGCGCTGTTAAATACATTCAAATATGACTTTAAAATTAAAAAAGAAGGTCTATATATACTAATATGGTTTGGGTGGCTATTTTTCAGTTCATGGGGCGAAATCAAGCCATAATCATGGAGCTGAGATATGTAAGACTGAGGTAAACTTAGTCGAGCGCTTTAGATATTGCTGGGTAGCAGCTTTTCTTAGTCAAACTATGCATCTGGAATGAGTAGTAGGTAGAATACGATTGAAATTCGCAGCAAAAACGCGGTAAGAGGAAATAGATACAATTGTTTTCTCTGCACTCGACGCACTTCATCCGTTTCTCCAAATAATCTAAATCCTCAGGAGAGGGATTTTTTATTAATCTCCTTCAAATCTCCTGTTTCGGGCTTACTAGGCTGCTACTAAGACTTATGCGAGTATTTTTGCTTCTAAAAAGTGATAATTTAATGTTGAATCTGAATGAGGTGTTGAGATTCACAAAGGAAGCGATTGGTCTTCATCGATCAAAGGTATTTACCTAGAAAATTAAGAAAAATATAAAAAAACGGAACCATTTTTCCTTTTTGTCGAAATGGTGTAGAAGAAATAAATTTTATCAGCGATAAGGCGATAGTGCAAAATCAAGAAAAAAATGGTTTGCTCTAACAAAGTGGAATATTCCAAAGAATTTTATTCTTGAACCATTAAGGAATGATTTAAAGCGTAAATGAAAGTATTTTTCATGACACAGCTGAATCACTCATATGAAATTATGAATGATTTCAACAATATAAGCCAACAATATAAACTTTTAAGGAGGCACGCATAAATAAATACAGACAATAAGTGCACCATAAGAAGAAGGCAATAATTGCTGGATCAATCGAGAAAATCGAGAGTAGAATTATGAAAAAATTAGAAGATCAAAACTTATTTCATAGCAATTTCAAAATTCAAATAAGTCAAGACCCAGCTGGTGTTCCTATTATTGCTGCGAAAATTGCTGGGTCACATCTTAGCCATCCTCACTTATTTATTTATATCAAATGACAGGTGTTTTGATAGTTATCATTAGCCCTTTAGTTAACTTCAGGTCTCACAGAGCGGGAGGAACATCAGAGTGAAAAAAAGTCGAGAGAGGGGGGGGGGGGAGGAACAGAAGAGTGTTTCAAAGTTGTAAAAGAGGCTGACACAAAGGTAGAAAAAAGGTGAGGTGAGTACTGTGGAAGTAGTCGAATATGAAATACAGTGGGGTGTTAGTAGTTTGCAGTCAGGAGTCAACTGCCAGGTAATAGAGTTTTTTGCCGTATGAGTATACGTTGCTCAGGGTGCACCACGTGGAGGTAAGTCTATCGCACATCCCCCCACCCTCAATTAAAAAGACACTCAATTGTACGAGTCTTGGTGTTTTCTTCAAGATGAAAGTTGGCATTTAGTGAGTGCTAATGACGATATCGATTATGCGTCAAGACAGAAAGTTTTCTCCAATCCCAACTGAAAGTTGGAGGGAATAAAAATCCTAATTTAAAAAAGTGTCGACCTCTTAACTTTACATCTGTTCGTTTCAGCTGGTGTTTGCAATTTCAAGGTCTTATATAATCACAATAATTTTATCTCCTTTCATAGTATTCAATTTATGTTTAATGAAATATCGCTAAAATACTACGAAATTGTTGGCTGTCTCATTCACTATTTCTTTTTTAGTCGATATTATTCAAAAAGACATTAATGTCAAAATCTGTATTTTAAAAGTTGTTTCGAAAATTACCTTATTTAAGGATTCTCGTACAATTTAGATTAAATTTAAAGGATACAAATAATTTCCCTTAGCATTTGA